TGCATGTGTCATATGCTTGATATGTGTGAAATGGTTGTGAAATAATATGTCTGTGATATAATATGACTATGATATGATATGTTAATGTTATGACACGTGTTATGATGCGATGTGTTGATGATATAATACATGTTTTGACATGCTTATGATATGATACGTGCATGATATAATATGATATGTCGAAGAACATGTTATGTACATGATATGACATAATACGATGTATAATATGAATGATACAGTATTTAACTCTGTTACATGTCTTAAAGGCTATGTTGTAAAATGATATGATATGAAGAAAGATGGAAGGGGTTGATTTACATGATTTAATAAATGATAAATGTTGGAGCCTCATGTATCGAAAAATTTTCCAATTTACGATGGGTAGGGACGTGTACATTATGAAAAGGAAAATGATTACTATGTTTATCATTCAAATTTCAAATATATTTTTTTTTGTATCATAATACATTAATTAATTGATTAATATTTAATTGTATCAAATACAATAAATATATTTTTCTTTTAATAAATCTAATGTATTAAATATTAATTTGAATTTTCAAATTAATATATTTTTCTCCATTTATATTTAACTTATCTTATATATTAAATATTAATTTAAACCCTTGAAATTAAATATATATTTTTTATTTATTTAATATATCTAATATATTAAATATCAGTTTGAATCTTTAAATTTTCTTTTAAATATATTTAACTTTTGTGTTAGTATGAATTAGTGGGGACCTTATGGACCTATAAATTATAAGTTCGAATTATATAAAATTAATTAATTAAACTCTTTAATTAATCAATTTCCATTCATTAACTATAGGTCACTCCAACCTAGAGTTGCACTCTTATGTATTGACAAGTTATGTCCATTGATATAATCATTACAAGCAAGTCGATCCTTTACGAGTTGTTCATAATTACAACTGGGTCAAAAGTCCGTTTTACCCTTGTGATTACATCTTTCACCTTAAGTACCATAATTCTCTAATGAACAATTTGTTTATGATCCAATCATAGACCTGAGACCAATGAGAGGGTGGGGCCTATTGCTCAAGTCCCAAAATCAGTAATTAAGAGAACAACTCATTACTTTTCTTATATGGAAAGGAGTGAATTCCATCACATGATATTATGTTCCTAACTTCCTATTTGGTTAAGTCCCCAAAATGGTAAGCATATTGAATCGGCTAAAGAGTCATTCTCACCCATGTAAATTAAAGTACAAGCCCTCATAGTCAAGAGTTCATAACTCACTCAAGATCGAGTCGCATATGATCATCATGTGAAATATTAATCTTCTCAATTAACAGATTTATAAGGAGAGATTAAATATTTCTTGGTCAGTGTTATACAAACTCATTGTATAGTATACCCCCACTTACATGTCTCCAAATGAACGATTTGGATCAAATCATTTGTAACGATTACAAAGTGGGCCGTATCAACAGTGTTATCAGGATAAGACACCCAACCTTATCCATATACTTTAGACTCTGTAGGTTATTATTTGAACACGATCCTCTTGTATGTCAACCACATACGGTTCAAGATTATATTAATAACCTTGTATTTTCATACCATGGATAACAATTAAGTTACAAATAAAATAATAAAATTATTGTTAAAAACTAAATAATTAATTATGAGGCTTCAGAGAATAAATTCCAACACTCTAGCGGTGGACTCCAGTCTCAACAAATTTGATGAATAGTACTTCCCTACACATGATCCAAGTGCGAGTGTGAATTCCTAGGGGACTCACACACCCTCTAGTCAAGCTAATCTGTAGCGACGTTCGAAGTTCAGCGGAATCTCATAGTGCCATGCTCCCTATAACATCATCATCATCAAATTGTGCACGTCTGCACTCATCGTCTCTAGGGAAGTATTCGTATGCTTATGAACATATAATATGCATGAGGTCCCTTCTAAATTCCATCTTATCGTCTCTTCTGACACAAACTTTTAGTCTCGTTTCTTTGTTACATTGAGTAACACATGATCGTTGGATATTCATATTAATATCATTTTCATGCTTTTAGGATTGTGTCCTATGTCGATCTATGGACATGATGCAATATGTCACTCATCATCATATAGCATGCTTAATATAGAAAACATCAGTATATTAAGACAAACGTCATGCAATCATCATATTTATCATATTGCCATAAAGTGCATAAAGCAGATCAAGTAAGTCATATATCAAATTGTATTATGCACATCATCAAGCATCATAACTCATACATCATCATATACTTATGCATCGTCATATACTCATACATCATCTTAGTATATAGCATCAAACGATATAACTCATACAATATCTTCTTGAATGATGCTTGATTAGCTTAGACTGATGTCACCAATTTATACTTGATGAAAGTTTGATTTTGTCATTGATATCGAAGTCAACTTATGTGAACCCATAACATCAATTTTAAGTCCAATTCTCTACATTTTACAATAGTCCAAGTGTTAGTCTTTATGCGGGCATTAGAACCTTTACATAGGTAGAGTTTTTGAATATTATATATATAAATATATTAAAGATCTCATTTTCTATTATTACTATTATTTTCTGTTTCAAAATTCAATAAGTTGTGTTTGACCGTACACATAAAGATAACAAAAGAAAGTTTAATTAATTTTATCTCTCTCATTTTTATTGGTCCGTATCTCTGTGTTTTTTTTTAATTTTGTTAATATTTGTTTTTTGTTTTTTTATTTATTTTTTTACCAATTTTAATCAAGAAGAATGGTACGGACAATAAAAGACTCATATTTTATCTGTTTTTTTTTTTTTTTTTTAAATTCTTTGATAAATTTTATTCTTGAACTGCACGACAAAATCCATTTGTTCACCAAATCTTCCATTTTCTCTCTTAAATTTTCCATTTTTTTCTCGGCCGTATTTATTTTAAATTATGTTCACCAAATTTCCCCTTTTTCTTTTCGCCCTATATATATACATATAGATATCTTTTACCAATTTTTGGTCGCTAATTCTGAAGTGATTTTCTATAACACGTACCATACTAACTAAAATCTAATTGGAATTGAAATAATTGGATCTAAAATCTGATTCGTAATAATTGGATGATTGAGAATAATTGGATAACTAGATAGACCGATTCTGACTTGATTTCTTGTAAGGCCTAAAATATTAACTGTAAAGTGAAATGAGACCTCAGATATGATTTACCGTAATAACAAAAAGTAAGATCTGTCCAGTTAAATCGGCAAGCATCTACTTGCTCCATTTTCATTCTACTCAAAGTAAATCTAACATTTTCGTATTCTTTGAGTGAGTTGAGGAGAGATAATTGGGAGAGGTAATAGATACGAGGCACCCTTCTTTTTCTTATTAATGTTATTATTTATTTTTAGGCTATTACGACAAGCCTTCTCTGTACCTCACGGTGACATCGCAACTTAGAAGACCATGACACAAGCATAGAGTAGTTGTATTTAATTTCGTAGACTATAGGTTAGCATAGGGTATTTTTGTTTTATTTTACTTATGTCTATTTTAATTTTTTCGTGGTTTTATTTAAAAGGCTTTTTATTAAACATGTAACTCTTCGGGACTGCTAAATTAGAATTAGATTTCAAGGAACAACTTTAAGTTAGCATGAAGATGAAGAGAGTAGTGATTTCCGCTTAGGTCAACCAAGTAAGTGATCTTGCTATTGGTTTAGTTGGATGAATTGAATAAAGTATGAATGACATGTACTCTGGTCCCGTGCACGTGCCGTATTTTATGACTGGATGACGTATATTATGTTATGCTATGACTTAGGTTATGCTATGTTATGTTACGACTTATGTTATGATATGTTATATTGAAAGTTAGTTTATGAGATGTTTATGTTATGTTATGTTATGAATCTTGTTGTGACTTACATGTTGTATGATGCATAATACCTCTAAATGATATGTAATGTGACACGGTCGTAGTATTTCAACCGTGTGGCTTCGTGATCTTGACACGCTCATGACCAACTAGAGAAACCCAAACTACATATACATTTTTTGCCTACTGCCGTGACTTCTTCGGACCTTAGGCGAGATTTGTCTTTGCCCACCAAACACAACTTGTGCAAAGTCCAAGCTTGTTCCGCCACACTTGTCGCCGGCGTGTGCATGTTCAATCATTTGCAACCCAACTGACTTGCCTCTACACAAAGTCAAGTCATGCTTCTACTCGGTGCTAAAGCCTCTCAACGCAACGATGCATCTCACTCATCTTGGTTCCCAACTAATATGGTCATGTCTCTTAGGTTACTTAGAATGGAATGGATTTCATGAGAGGTTAAAGAATTAAAAAGAATTTTCTTTTTTTCTAAAAAATAATAATAAAATATTTAGAAAGTGGCAAATTACCAAAATACCCTTAAACTTTAATGAGATTACGAAAATGCCAAAACTCTCCTTCTTCAACCCATGATATTTTATAAATTTGAATTAAAATTTCCTAAGGATTTTCTAATTTATTTCAAAATTTTAATATAATTTCAAATTATTAGTAAGAATAATAGAAAAATGATAATTTTGGGCTTTTAAATTTAAAATTAAATTATAAAACTAATGGATTTGGGATTAAATTTTTTTTTATCCAAAATTACAAAATTATAACCATCTTTATATAACCTTATTAATGTATGAAATTCAACTATAAAAATATATTTTTAAAATTGAAAAAAAAAATACTTTAAATTAAATTAGTATAAGTATTGTTTTTTATTTTTTATTTTTACTTTATATTTTTAAAACACGGTTAAAAGTTTAATGATATTTTAAAAATAAAATAAAATAAAATACTAATAATTTTCCTGTAAATTTATTTTTGTGAGAAAACCATAAAATTTAGAAATATATATATATATATATATATATATATATATATATATATATATATATATATATATATTTTAAATTTTATAAAATTAAAAAACTGAATTGTTAAATGATATGTTTAATAAAGAAGTAGAGATGGAGCATTCGTAGCAGAACGGGAAGAGGAGAAGACGAGCAGAGGGCAGAGAACAATCATGGATTTTGCTCGTCTCACTGAGGCTTTGGCTTTCAAATCTTACGAAAAGATCGCTGATATTTGCGACGACCTAATGCTCCAGGCAACTGAATTTCTCACTTTTTCATTTTCTTCACCTTTAATTTCTTCCCCTCACCTCATTTTTCCTCTCCGGTTTGTTAAAATTTACATTACTTGATCAGGCTGCAGCCGAGGGCGTTGATTATCAGGATGAATGGCCTTACGTGATCCATTTTCTTGGCTACCTTTACGTCGATGACATGTAAGATCATTTTCCTTGATGTCTTAATTATTTCGTTTCAAATCATGAACAAAATTTTAGGTGGATTGATTATGGCACTGCAGTGTTATGTCGGAATGTTTTGTGGTTCTTGTCTTTTGATCTGGATTTTAAGCGCCATTCTACTTTTTGGCTCATTTCAATATGTTTGGTAATGTTTTCATTGATTACTGCCTCCCATGGAAGTCTTAGTCAATGTGAGAGTTTAACATTGTGTTCAGTTTTCCTTGGGAGTGTTTCGGAAATTGGCTAAAAGATTTAGTCTATTTAAAACGAAAGAACAATATGGTTAAAACTGTCCTGTTGATTTGTCTAAGAAATATAGTTAACATGTTCTTAGGGCTCTATAGTGTTACTTTGGAGTTATTTGTTTCAAAAAACATTGGTCCATATGTAAATTATTTATAGATTTTATCTTAGAATCATTGTTCAGTTTTTGTTTTTGGATTTGTTTTGTTCCTTCATTTTCCCTTGTTTCTTCTTCCATTCAATTTTTGTTGTTGGATGTTCTAGTAATTCTGTAGTGTTCGTCTCGAAACTCTTGGTTGAAATTGAGTTTCCTTATCTGGATTTGTGGATTATCAGCTGACTGTTAACTGTTTAGTGGTTTCTTGCAGCAATAGTGCTCGATTTTTCTGGAAATCAATACCTTCCACTATAAAAGAAAACCGACCAGAACTGGTTGCCGTTTGGAAAATTGCCCAAAAGCTATGGATTCAGGACCATAGGGGCGTGTACGAGGCTATTCATGGATTTGATTGGTGTCAAGAAGTTCAGGGCATATTAGTTGCATTTTCAGGCAAGTCTCTTTAACTGTCTCCCTTTCCATGGCAACAAAACATTTCATTGGTAATATGAAAGTTGCTTCTAAATTTATATAAACTCCATCAAAAGATTTGAGAAACACCCCATAACTTCTACTTAATTTCTGCCCCAGACCTTTGACATCCTTGTTTTTTCTTCCACTTGAAATTGGAATCAAAATTAATCCAAACTTTTTAGAAAAATCTACACCCCTCTTCTCCATACTACTTCTTGACTCACTTAATGTCATTGGCACCTTCAGAAGAAAAAAATCCTTCGATATTGACTATACGATGCCTTTTCCACTTATTATGAAGAAATAACACATTGTCTGCACTTGTGGTGATAATTTCTTATTCCTCACATCTTCAAGATGGAACACGGAGGCTAGTTCTGGTATGCCATTTTCTCCTATTTTCTTCCCAAACATAACCATAATTTTTTTGGGTAAGAAATCGAGCTTTGTTGGGGAGAATGAAATAACAGACTAGGGCATTTTAAAAAAGAAAAAAAAAAATCCAACATAAAAGGAGATCGAAAAAGCTATAGAAAGAGATTTCAATCCAACAAATCAAACTAAGAATAATAATGAAAAGTTGTTGCACAAAAAACAAATAGAATTTTAAAATTAAGATATGAATCTTGCACATGAAAATACCTTTTGTTTTCATGTTGTAGATCTTTACAGAAGGAGAATGTTTCAGTTGCTGGTGTCTGCATATTCTACAATAAGCATCCATGATGCAGCTCACTTCTTGGGAATGAATGGGGAAGAAGCCAAAAATTGTAAGCTTCTTTATTAACCAAGTACTTCTGTATTCTCCCTCAACTTTTATGACTGTAATATACTTTCTTGTAAAGGAATTCAAAACCTTTCATTGGGATAGTGGAAAGTTATTAACGATAGAAGGCCTTGTTTTTTGTAGTCTCTTGGGCAGGGGTTCTCCCTACCGCAGCCGCTAGGTTGTATTTTTCTTTGGGCCTTAATCTATTGATCATTTTATATCATAAATATATATATATGTATGTATATCTATATACACAGAGTCGGCATTGATTCAAATAAATATTGACCACCTTCTAACCCTTTGGTCACCTAGTCATGGAAGATGGAGTTTAATGTGAACAATGGAGTAATCGATCATCCTCTAGTTTCAGTTCCGGTAGGTGACATTGCATTCGCTGAACCAAGAATTGATGTTTCTAATGAGTCTAGTCTGTATGGTCATCAACAATCTGAGAATCTTTAGATTTCCCTGCCATTTTTACGAGCATTCTTCCTATGATGTGCCTTTTGGGATTCATGAGCCCCCTTTCAATGCCTCCATTAAAGGTTTCAAGTTCTCGAAACCCTTGAGGGTTAAAGAGGTTAAACATTGTTACTTTGCAGCTTATTCCTTGTGCTATTCTTGGAAAAGTGAGCCTATTATTTCTTCCCATTCACCCACCGAGGTTAATACTATGGATCTTGATTTAGTTGAACAAAATTGTTCACATCTCTTGGTCTCCTCTGTAAGACAAGTGGGTAGTTAGAAGTTAACAACAATTGCTCCTTCAAAGTCTCCAATCCACAATCCTTGTAGCCATAAAAATTCAATTTTGATACATGGTGTCATCTATTCAATGAAAGACCCTTCAAATCCTCTTCATCCCTTTCGGTGTGATGACTTTGTTGCTGTATCTAAAGTTAAACTAATCAGTGCAGAATACTGTTTAGTTTAACTTTGTTGTTGAATCCCTTTCGGTGATTGAAGACCCACTTTCCCACGCATTTGAGTTTCTATTTCAAGAAAAAATAAAAAAGATTCTTCCTCCACATTAGTGCCTAGAAAATGTGCCTTTCTTATTAAAGCTTGTGGCCTTGAATTACGTAAAATCCCTTCAACATCTGAAGGACAATTGTTTTCAAGGTTTCATAGGGTCTCATTTCGTCACTTCATTTTGTGGAAGTTTGAGTGTAATGCTTCTTTTATAGGCGGTTTCTTTTCCTATAGTTTCAGTTGCAACTTCTTTACTATTAGTTCCTCGATTATTTTTATCTAGTTTGGGGTTTCAGTTCTCAGAGTATCTTAGGTGTTTCAGTTCTGAGAGTATCTCAGGTGCTTTGGTATTCCTTTTTTTGGCACGTTGTGTGGTTTCCAGAGGGATGGGTTCCTTGGTTCAACAACTTTGTTTTTATTGACCTTCATGTCGTGCCTTGGTGGAATTGAGTTGGTTTTTATCAGGTTTGGGGTTTCAGTTCTCAGAGTATCTTAGGTGTTTCAGTTCTGAGAGTATCTCGGGTGCTTTGGTATTCCTTTTTTTGGCACGTTGTGTGGTTTCCAGAGGGATGGGTTCCTTGGTTCAACAACTTCATTTTTATTGACCTTCATGTCGTGCCTTGGTGGAATTGAGTTGGTTTGTCGGATCGTCCTTTGGAGAAGGAATTTTGGCAAGCTTTTACCAGTATTGGTTCATGTCGGGTCTTTTTTTGTTTCTCAGCCGTTTTCATTTTATTGTAATTGTTGTAAGTTCTTGTTCTTTTTTCCTTTTCACTCCCTGTGGGAGTTTGTATTGTTTGTACATTTCCCTTTATATCAATGAAAAGTTGTTTGTTGATTAAAAAGAGTCATTTTCATTTTGTGCAATTTTCAACAATTCTCTCAACAAGTCTTGGGTCAAGGAGGGAGTTTTGGTCATGTCCTCTCCATCCTTGTTCCTTGTCAGCTATGTTTTTGTCTAATCGTGTCTTATCTGCTACCTACTATGGTCTTTACAAAATGCTTGATCTCCATTGAAAGTAAATCTTTTGATTTGCTTTTGGTTGGGTCTTAAAAGGCAGCATGTTTAATAGAGCCACAACGACACAAGTCTTCCATAGCCAATCTCTTATCTTTCCTTTAGTGATTGTTTCAAAGACATGTTAGTCTCCCTGAAGAAGTACAGATGTTTTGGGAAAGTTAGGTGCAAAGATTTTGTCTTATGGAGAGGAAAAAAGTCCAGCAATTTCGGTATAAGTCTTTAAAGTAGTATCGTAGTAATAAGTTAAGCATTTTTCGTAGCTGGAGTTCCAGATGTGTTTTTGATTTTGATGACTATATCCTGGACCAGAAGTAAAACCTCCTCCTCGTAGAGTTCCTATCTCCCACTTCCAGTGCTTGGCTAAAGTTCTTAAATGTAAAGTTGAAGACTTGTAAGTGTAAACCACCATAGGATGTTACTAAATTTGTTAAGATTTCTTAGGCATCGAAGGTGTATCCTAAGAAGCTGTGACGTAGGGGTTTATGAGCCATTTTTTCTATTAGTTTAAGCTAGACATCATAAGCTAGTTCTTTATGTTTAAGCCGTTTGTTATGAGTTCTAGCAGCTTTTGGAGGTCGCTCTTAATTGGTTATTTGTAGCTGTTGGAGCTGTTAAGGATGTTATGTCTATTCAATGCCTATAAATACGTGTACCTGTAGCTGTATTTCGGTTGATTATTCATTACTAAGACGACCCTCCTTTTTTATGTGATTTTCATCGAGATGAGAGCCTAAATTATGATGCTACAATCAAGAGTAGTAGAGAAAATTGTCACCAAGTACATAGCATGCACCACTGCTACCCCACCACTCGGGAGACAGACCATTTTGCTTTTGATTTGGGGAGAAACTCAGCTGCTACCGATCGGGGCGGGTAAAAACATTGACCTGCGAACCTGTCCAGTGATGCAAGACTTTGTATAGCAAGACCTTTATTACTTAAATTATCTCGATATTGGCCTATTTTTTCTCGCAAACGAGTGCTGTTTTGTAGTTCGAGATAATAATTGTTAAATAATTTGCATGACAGAAGTGTTCCTGTAAGTAAGCTGGTTTTGAAATGGTTGTGTTACTTGGATGATGTACGTTAGGTGTTTCCCACATCCCTTGTGGCTAGTTTACAAACAATAAGGGGTGTTTTGTATTTGTGCAGATGTAACAGGGCGAGGATGGATTGTTGATGTTGCTTCTGAAATGTTGACTGTGAAGAAACAAGAAATTGGGAGAGAGCAGAAGTTAGATTCCAGTAAATTGCAGCGCTTGACCGAATATGTTTTCCATCTTGAACATTGAGGACCCATAAATGCTTTAGTTGTTCTTAGTTCGTTGTGTCCTTTAGAACTAGAGCCATGCTTTGGTGGATATCTATCTTAATTCCCCCCAACTCTGAACTGCTTGTTGCTATATTGTTCTTGTGGGGGAAACTTTCAAATTAGTTTTGGATAGAATTAAACCCTTAGCTGTCTCTTTGATTTTGACATTGATTCTACTCATTTGAAAGATGTTCCTTTGGCGGTTTTTGTCTGCAAATATATGTATGACTATCATGCCTTGTGGGACCTAAAACGATATACTTCTTTTTCCCCTAAAATTTAGGTGTATATTACTTTCATACACACGGTTCATGCACATGCATATAAACCTATTAGGTGAGCATTCATAGTTTCTAGATTTAACTATGGGCATGCATGTGCTCGTGCAAAGGGAACACGTATAAATAAATCATGATTGTATGCATTCGAAAAATTGCGGACAAGAAAAGTAATTTAGGTGTATATTACTTTCATTCCATGCGGTCCATGCACATGCATATAAACTCACTAGGCAAGCATTCATAGTTTCTAGATTTAACTATGGGCATGCATGCGCTTGTGTAAAGGGAACACGTATAAATAAACCTATTAGGCGAGCATTTATAGTTTCTCTGGGCATGCATGTGCTCGTGCAAAGGTAACACATAAATAAATCATGATTGTATGCATTCGAAAAATTGGTGACAAGAAAAGTAATTCACGATTGAAATGGTCACACATGCACGAGGTCCCATGTATAAAAATAATAATTTAGTAACATATTGCAATACATAAGTACTTATGATTAACATTCACATTATAAAACCACTTATCAATCATAACTATGTCTCAATAACTAGGGACTATTTCTCTCATTAACACATGACTTCATAAATATTGATCTAAATTATTTATGATTATTTATCTTAAAAGTTTCTTATGGTCATTGTTCTTGATTTGATTACATTTTAAAGAGTGTTTTCATAGAAAATAAATCATCCTAAGAAAATCATTGAGAAAAGAGGAACAATTTTGTAGAAAACGAACGATGGAGAAGAAGCTTATAGGTCATTGAGTCAGGTTTGATCCAACACATGAACCCAAGACTCAGCATCCACCGACAAACCACAACTAATAGAAATTGGTACCCAGCAAGTGGTGTCAATTGAGTTTTGATAGAGTTGAGGCTAGGGAGACTTTACCCAAACTAATGAAAATTAGCACCCAGTTAATGGTATCAAATCAAGTGTCTTATAATAATAGATGGTTATCGTCAATATACTTGTCATGATATTACATGTTAGGTACATTCATGCACGAGATCTCATAATTTATTTTTTCAAAAACCTTAACAAGTACATGCACAACATAACAACGATGCTGCTGCTGGATGTCACGGTTCTAGTGCGCCACGATCCTTTTCTTTGGAACAATCGAGGGCACTACCTTCCTTTCTGCTTTCAGAGGTAGGGAGAATTAATCATCGCTCAGTGAGCTATTTATTGCTGCCAATAATAACGCTTCGCTTGCATACCAGCGTCATGCCTGGTAGAGCTATTGCGCGCAGGCGAAGGATATGCATTTTTTTTTTAGTTCAAACCTAAAACAAAATCTTAAAACTAATGCCAAAATTTTGAGACAAAAAACTAAACAATTTTACCCTCAACCAAACTAGTATTCTTACTCAAAATTTAGTCTCTCGACCTCAACCAATCGTCCAATCCTAAGCACAAGTAAAACCAAAGCTTATAACCCAAAACCCATAGCAAGTTCAAGAAGAGATTCAAATATAGTTACCCACTGAAAATCTGCTCAAATTGTCATTAACTCTTGCTACAAAATGCACTAAAACCTTCGAATTCGTGAATCTGAGGCCAAAACAAGTGGGTAATCCAAACCTTGGTTAACAATGATGAACAAAAAATAACGAAAATAGCATTACCAAAGTAGTTCGTCCCCATAATGATTACTTACATGGGTCATGACGGTCGGGACGGTCTAGCGTCTTTCAATGATCAATGGGGAGTGACTATGCACGAGGTGGCTACACAAATACCTGAATGTAGTGTTAGAATAATTTGATTGCGTAAAAAACGGTTAAATAAAGATCGTTTCTTCTAGAATAGTTAAGAGTATTAGCTAGCTATTTAGTTTAAGCAATATTTGTGGTGAGTTTCTATTTCTCTTATTATTTTGTAAAGCTATAAAAGTTCGGATTTTGGAAAGTTATAAAAGTTCGGACTTGACAAGATCATCACTTAAAACTCTAATTGTTATGTTTCTAATTTAGTCATTCTTCTGTCAAAACCTTACATGTAGACCCAAGGCAGGGGCGTTGTAATCGTCTAGCAGCACGATGGGCTTGAGGGCGTTTGATAGAGAGAGAGAGATCAGTTTTCTAAGCTCAAAATTTCACCCCCCCCCCCCCCCCCCCCCCACACCAAGTTCCCTGTTATTTGCTTATTGATCAGCTGATCAATAGAACATAAATAAGCCTAAATCAAAACAAGAACAAACAATTTTAAAAAGAAACCAAAATAATAGGGAAGAAAAAAAATGCTCCCTGTTGTGAAAAGTGATATTCAGGCATCCAGGAAAAATATTTAGACATCTATAAAACCAGTACGAGATGGGATGGTATGAAGATTTAACGGAATATCTACAAACCGAGTACGTGACGATGGGGTATCGATCACTTGCAGCACCCAATACAATCGTGTACTTGTGCCAAATACATGGACCGGCTACGACACCGGTCTCAACATCATCGTCATCTTGCAACGGTTGATATGCATATACATATTCATAACTGATCTGTTACCATACTCTTCTAATATCTGGATATCATCTGCATCAAATTTCTAGCATTTATTATCCTCAATGCTATGCTTTTCTTTCAGCATGATGCTAAAACATCATAATCCATGTTCCTAGTTGCATGTCTTCAGCTTCATAGCTGTTGAAGATTGGCACCTATTGATTAATCGTATGAGCGGCAATCGATCATCTTAAAGAGCGTACATCCTTTTGTATTCGTTATTCAACAACTCCGATTCGGATGCTACGACAGACATGGAATAAGAACGAGATCTGCTCTCGCCTCGCTTAATACTTCTCAATTTCGACTCCTCCATCCTGTGTTGAACGACGCAATAGCACATCGAGCCAATTGTTGTAAGCATTATTGTGCTACCGATCACGGTTGCACTAATGGCAAGCCACTTGTGGTTTGAGCCAACAACTACATATGTGATTGAAATGAAGGCAACTGAAATGAAGAGACAAGCCAACCACATGAGCTTGTTAATCACAAAAACAAGCTGTCTCTTTGCTTTCTGTTCAATCACGACCACGGATGTCTGGACGACTACAACTGCCAGGGAAATGAACAACGCCAAGCTGTCGGAGATTATGAAAACGATGAAAGCTGCATTTGTAGCGATATGTGCTTGTCCCAGAGTAAGACCTTTCGTTTCCTGCTCGACAAACTGGCCAGGTATGGTGAATATGGCCGCGAAAGCAACAGTAGCAATGAGAACAGCCACAACCGTTGCAGAGTTTATGGCATTATTGAGGCCACTAATGTGAAGTTTCTTCAACCTTTTAGCGATTCTATGAACCCGAAAACCAGTTTGGCGGGTCTGTTGTAGTTGGGATTCAACATCATGCTTTATGTCACTAACTGTTTGCTTAAGTTGCTTGGCTGCACTTGGGGGTTTTCCCTGGTCTTTGGAATTGACTGCCCCTGCTTCCTTCAAGATGGTTACAAGTTCTGAAGATCCAAATTTTTCCACAATGTCTAGTGGGGTATCTCCATTCTTGTTGATGGCATTGATGTTGATACCATTAACAGATATTAGGCAACGAATATTCTGCAACGATATAAACATCTCGAAATCAGGCCAATTTAGATATACAACATGCACCTCAACATTAAACTTGATATACAATAGAAAATGCTTAAGAGGAGTTAGAAAGGGAAATTGCTAGTTTTTTCTCTTCTTCGTATGCTCTAGCTAAGGAGATGAGACCTTTTCAAGATATTCTTCCGTGGCATTCAATTAAGAGTTTAAGGAGTAGCTTGCTCAGTACACCAAATTAAAAGGGTATTATGTACTGGTCCTGATTGTGAGTTCTCATATCAGTTGGGGGGGAGAATGTAACATTCTTTATAAGGCGGTGGAAACCTCTCTCTAACACACACGTTTTAAGAACCTTGAGGGGAAGCCCGAAAGGAAAAGTCTAAAGAGGACAATATTTGCTAGCGGTAAGCTTGAGCCATTACACTGATGGTCTTTCATTTTCTTTTTATTTGAGCAATTGGGAGAGGTTTTAGAGTTCTAAGAAACTTTATGGGGGAAGACTTTTATGGGGGAAGTTTTTTAGTCATCATCTCACAAGACTTTTATAGTCTTATGAGACAAAGCAGTTAATGTGAAGAATTTCAGCCCATTAGTAGCCTCAGGACCAATCTGTGTAAGTCTATTTTTCTTTTTTCTGTTTCAAAGGACTGTATAACATAATTCATAAAGCTAGATAAGAGATTGGGAGTTCCCTCTACAATGATCCTTTACCAAGGAACCTTTGCAGCGGGAGGCATCCACAAACAAGTGCTCGTGTACTCGAACGGCTATTGACTAATTATCAATCATGTTAACATGAGGAAGTCATTTCTTTTGACCTTGGCAGTGGATGATCTCAAAAGAAGGCTTTTAAAGGAAGAGGACGGGCCACGCCAGAGAATACTTAGGATCAATCAGATCAAGTACAAAACGCAACTTGCAATTTATGGAAAATACAATCTTCAATCGTTAAAGGAAAATCGAGCCATATAGGTGCCTTAATGTAGTCCACTGCAACTTTGAGAGGATGGCCTCAAGTATTATAGTAGTATTACATACAAATGTTCCTAACTTCAGTGTCTTAAGAATGATAAGGTTTACAGCACGGAAATTAAGACTTTAAGCGTGTAATCGCCCAGCTACCTATAAGTTCTTTGGGCCTTCCACTTGATCAAAATCCCGGGAGCCTATATTTGGAAACTAATGTCGAAAAAGTTGTAGGAATAGTTTTTATAAGACCTTCTAGTCTATAAAAGGTAGGCCAAGTCTTCAGTTTCTCACTATTTCTTGTCAATATTTTGGGTTCCTATGTTCGTAGCAAGAAGGATGGAGAAACTGGTGAGCAATTTTTTGTGGGAATGTTTGAAAAAGGTTTGCCCTCTGTGATAAAA